TACATTACAGGAGAGCTATCACTCTGCCACTTAGTTAACTGGTAATTAACATGGCAGCTCTCGGGCTCTCGGCCCACTGCCACTATCACATCACTTGAATGGGCCTGATGACACACAGCCATGGACTTTCATCCTGCTGACATAAAGTGGGTCTGGGGTGGACAACCTTATATATATGTTTGATGCTCCCATTTATTGTTGCATTAGTTCAATCAGAATGGCCCTTTAACTCGCCTGATTAACCTTGTTTTAGACAACCCCTATTCAGTGAAATAGCACTTTTGTCTAGCTAACTCTGGGACGACACTCGACACGTTCCCACAGCATGTAAATTAGACCACAGGGCTAACCAGATTCTAGACCATTAAACAATGTGACATGTAAGCTATCCATATAGCCGCATTCATGAATGTTTAGTCGATGTACTATAAGCTATAACCACTAATTCGAAAATAACAATGTTGAACACAAACTAACCATAAAACTGTGCACGTACTAACATACCCCTTACTGTTATGCATGTTTATAACAAAGCACGGGGATTGCCGTTGGGGTACCCCATGGGCATTGTTCCCTCAATTGCACTGCAAAAATAAATAATAATAATAATAATAGTTTAAAGATAATATTAATAAAATAATAATAATAGAATAATAATAATAATTGTGGCGGGATCGCTGCCTGTTCATGAATTGCTGTATTATATTCTGTGTGTTTCCCCGTTAGTTTCGTATGAATGTGCCTGCTCCCCGTTCGGGAGGGCCTACACGAAGGGAATGCATTTACCTCCCGAACGGGGACCACCACGAAAACTCATTTAGAATGTTGTCTTAAAACGTTCACACCTCGTAATGAGGTGTCAAAACCACAAACTGCAAGGGAAGTCTCGGTGCGTGCCGACCCTGGGTGGCGGCCCATTCATTAGACGAACGTCATCTAGGGGAAGCATTTGTGGGTTGCTTCCCAACTCGTTCGGTTCCTGAACAAAGACCTCCCCAGAACCCCTTGGAATGTCCACACAATCAATTAGAACATTGGCAACTTGCAACATAAGTGTGAAACCACAAGGGAAGTAATTAATGAGTGCTTTCCTAGGCGGCCGCCGTTCATATAGACAGACGGCGGCCAGGGGGAGCATTCATGTCCGGTTTCACCCAGGGACCCCATGAGCGGAGGCGGTTACCATTCTGGGGAGTCCCTGAGATTAGTGGGGACACTCTCTTAGGGACAATGGCAGTTTGTCAGGCTTTCTGTAGCTGGTCCTCCCAGGTACAGAGGCTCATGGGATAAAGAGCCCTTGCCCCCGGATGGGTGGCGGGAACTAGGGACAAAGGAACTGGAGTTCCGTTTCCGTCAGGGGACCCCTGGAAGGGGGAGGACCCTGGGAGGGGACACTGAGTGGCGGGAACAGAGGAGAAAGGGATTGGGGTTCCAGTTCTGTTACACGACCCCTGGGAGGGGGAGAACTTTGGGAGGGGACGTTGTCTTCATGTGTGATCCACTCCTTGCATAGGGAAAGTATAAAACCGAGTGTGGCCAATAAAGTTGTTGTTGTACCCTCAGGACTGTGTGTCATCCAGTTACTGGGGGGGAATGGGTCTCTCTGTATTATAACCGACTCCCTTCTAGGGAAGGACATGGCTGAGCAAGGACAACCAGTCAGGTTGCTAGCAGCCCCGTTACAATAATAAATGATTAATAAGACAGATAACGGACCACATACATGCGGTAATTTTATTTTCCTGTCTATGTTACATGGCAGCATCATTGATGGCTAGCTCCTCCCTAGCTTAGAAAACAGGAATGAAGACTATAGTGAAAAGGCAGTGTTTACATTTAACCCTCTGATTGCGTAATTTGTTTCTCAAATTTGGTTAAAAATTTTTTATTTTTCTTTGTCAGCAGAGCTAGTGTGAACAGGAACATCACGTGATAGCAATGCAAAGAAAAATAAATACGTGTGAAATCGTAAAATGATACCAGTAGGTTCTGCACGCGGAAATGTGGGATACCCAGTCAGAGGGTTCAGTGCCAGCAGGGACATGCTATACACACTAGAACAACTACATTAAGCTGTATACCAATACAATAAGCTGTATACCGTACAATAAGCTGTATACTGTACAATAAGCTGTATACCGTACAATAAGCTGTATACTGTACATATTAAGCTGTATACCGTACATTAAGCTGTATACTATACATTAAAGCTGTATACCGTACATTAAGCTCTATACCGTACATTAAGCTGTATACTATACATTAAAGCTGTATACCGTACATTAAGCTGTATACAATACAATAAGCTGCATACTATCAGGGCCGGTGCAAGGATTTTTGCCGCCCTAGGCAAAAGCAAAAAAGTTTGCTGCCCCCCCATGTGACATCACAATGACCCACCCATATGATTTGCCATGTTAACTAACGCCAGTGCTGCAGTGCCGCCGTGTTTACATTAAAAGGCCTGCAGGGACAGGCTATAGACACCAGAACCACTACATTAAGCTGAAGTGGTTCTGGGGACTATAGTGTTTCTTTAATGTGAGGTAAATTAGAGCTTAGTGCCACGAATAATATACTAGATTGCCTACTTACAACCAGATGAGGATGATGATGGGCTCTAGCTGCAGTCTGGCTCCACTGGTCTGGTGTACAACAGGCTCTCTGGAGGCGGTTTGTAACTGTGGTCACAAAAATCAATGTTCTGGGAGAACGGGAAGCAGCTCCATTTTTTGGGGGCCCTTTACACAGCTCAAGGTCTGGGTCCCAGGGTCCACCTTCATGTTCCACCAATGAGTTTGTTCACAGGGGGTGGAGTGTGTAGGGGATGTCCTGATTTGTATGTAAGGAATGCATTGTGTGAATCTGTGTTTGTATGTGTAAGGGCTGCAAGGTGTGTTTGTGTATGTACGGGATGCAGTGTGTGCGTCTGTAATGGGTGCATTGAGTGTGTGTAATGAATGCATTGTGTGTTTCCGTGTGTGTAAGGGATGCATTGCTTGTGTATGTGTGTCTGTGTGTGTAATGCATTGTGTGTTTTTCTGTGTGCAAGGGGTGCATTGTGTGTGATTGTGTGTGTGTGTGATGGATGTCAATCCCCCCCATCAACTTCCTTCTCCCCCTCCCCCCTGTCAATTTCCTTCTCCCCCTCCTCCAATTTCCTTCTCCCCCCCTCTCCAATTTCCTTCTTCTACCCCCCTCCAATTTTCTTCTTCTCCCCCCTCTCCAATTTCCTACTTCTCCCTCCCCTCTCCAATTTCCTTCTTCTCCCCCCTCTCCAATTTCCTTCTTCTCCCCCCCGTCTCCAATTTCCTTCTTCTCCCCCCTCTCCAGTTTCCTTCTTCTCCTCCCTCAATTTCAGCTACTTCTCCCCCCTCCAGTTCCTTCTTCTCCCCCCTCTCAGTTTCAGCTCTTCTACCCCCTCTCAATTTCCTTCTTCTCCCCCTCTCAATTTTCTTCTCCCCCCCCTCTCCAGTTTTCCTTCTTCTCCCTCCCCCTCAATTTCCTTCTCCTCCCCTCTTCCAGTTTGCTTCTCCCCCCCTCTCAATTTCCTTCTTCTCCCCTCTCAGTTTCCTTCTCCCCCCTCTCAGTTTCCTTCTTCTCCCCCCCCCTCCAATTTCCTTCTCCCCCTCTTCCAGTTTGCTTCTCCTTCCTCTCAGTTTCCTTCTCCCCTCAGTTTCCTTCTCCAGCTCCCCTCTCGGTTTCCTTCTCTCCCCACCTTCGGTTTCCTTCCCCTCTCGATTTCCTTCTCCCCCCCTCTCCAATTTTCTTTCTCCCTCCCTCTTCTACTGTTGTAGCGTGGCCGAGCTCTGTATGGTCCGCAGTACAGGGAGCTTTTGTTTCCTGTACCCGGCCGGACTAAAAGGAAGTGCACACTGAGTGTTAGTCCGGCCGGGTACAGGAGACAGATGCTCCCTGTACCCGCGGACCTTACAGAGCCCGGCCACGCTACAGTGAGGGAGTGACAGGAGAGAGCGCTGAGTGCTGAGCGCTTCCCTCTTGTCAGCCCCTCTCCTCATGCTGCGTCCGGGCGGTGCGCCATCATGGACGCACCAGCCCGTGCAAAGCTGCAGCCGCCTGAGGATCTCTACAGAGCGCTCGGGTGGCTGCAGCATGAGTGGGGCCAGCGCTCCTGGCGGCCCCACTCATGCTTACAGGTAGCGCCGGCCCTGCATATTATACAATAAGCTGTATATTGTACATTAAGTTGTATACTATATAGTAAGCTGTATAACGTACATTAAGCTGTATACTGTAACGGATCCCTGGCCCCCCGACTGGGTACCTCCGTTGAAGGATGCTCCTAGCACTTCCAGAGGGCTCCAAGCACTCTAACAGACACCACAACCACCGCAGGCCGAACCTTTCTTCTTTCAGAGCAAAGCAGGAACAAGCTCTTAAAAGATCTTAGGAGTGATTATAGCAAGGGAATATGCAGAGCATAGCAATCCCTTGTAGCAGATTCCCCCAATAAGAGACGGCATTCCAAATTGAGGGTGAAGTAGAACTGAAGCTTTAATTAAACTTATGCTTTTATGCACATTTTACACACATAGTACTGCCCACAGGGTTTTGCAGAACAACCAATCAATACATACAATACACTCAGACACTCCCAGCAATTACACACAGCGCTCAGATCCCACGAACAGAATAAAATCGCCATGGGGTTTAAGTTTAACAAGGGCCATACACAGTCCAATAGAAATCCATAAGCCCCAAATGCTGTTTTTAAAGTGCCCAATCTCCCAGGGGCCATAGTCCCAAGGCATGAGGCTGGCAATCAGTCCCCTCCAAAAACCAGTGGCGAGGTCCCTTTCGCCACACATCTCCCCTTTGGGGGGTAGACTAACCAGGTACCTGACCTTCTGTCGGTCGGTGCCTGAGTTAGTCTGACAACCCACCCACAATAGCAAAGTACAAGAAGAGCCCCCCCACAACAAACAGATACTTGGGGAACAGAGGCCAGCTGCGCTCTGCCCCAATGTCAGCGCTTCTGC